ACTGGTTCACTGCACTGGATGCCTGCCCCAGCCAGGTATATGAAGCTGTTGTTAATCCTGGAATTGCAGTAGAAAACTGAATTCCCCAAATTTTCTCTCCACAGCTTTGCTGGAATTAATGTCTGATATACACTAGGGAATTGCCCTTCTGTCTGGAAGAGTGTTCAGGCAGTCTGAAGTGATCTATGAAGCAAATGAAGACTTACATTTCAGATGGGATACTATTAAGTATCATGCACATTTCTAGAGAGTAAATGACACAGAAAATGTGCAGGAAGGGTGACAACAGGAAAAGCAATGGTGAAATTAGTAAGACAGGTAAGAATCAATGCTTCTTAAAAACCTCTACTACCTCCCTCCCTCTCTCTGTTACAGAGCTTTGCTTCCTAAATTTGGAGCTGCATTACTTCAAACTCAACAATAATGTAAACTAGGGATGCTTCTTACAACCTGGGTTCTTGATACAGATTTTACAGAGGATAAACTAAAAATCCCACCAGGGAGAAATTGCTTCATTGTTCCTGAACAGTAAAATGTTCAGAACTCAGGGACTGAATTTGAAAAAGAAACACACACTTTCCTGCAAGTTCCCTTTCCTGTGGTCACTATTAGCTAAGGATCCTCTGAGAATCAAAGAACTGTTGAATTAGTAGGATGACTGTTCACTTATTAAGAAAACTATGGAATTTTATTAGTATTGCAACACATTCAGAGTGCTACAGATATGCATGTATGTGTCAGGGCTTTAGTAGTCTTCTTCTGAAGGATTTATGTTTAACATGTGTGTGATTAAACCAGAACAAAAATTTGCATTGTGGTAAACTTTCTTTCGAACCTTCTATTCAGGTTCTAATGGAGAAAAAAACATACATATTATTAAACAACAAATAAGAAGCCAGAGCTGATTTTTTCCCCTCCTTTTTCCATCTCCAAATTTTTACATATCGAAATACTATCACTATTAACTCAATAAATTCAGTATGAAAAATATTCAGAGCACTACACAATTATGTTAAGCATCAGTTTGCTTGCACTGGTTACCACTGGGGAGCCAGAGCTACTAAAATTGTGAAGGAATTGGGTATAATTTCTACACACGCATCTAAATCCGTAATAAGTGGTCATGAGCAGGGATTTGGGCATTTAAATTACTGCAAATTGCAATCAAATTTTTAATCCATATTTAATTACATCTTAAATATTACATCTGCAAACCCGCAGTTCTAATTTAAATCGAAAATAAATGTTTTCAGCAGTTTGGAACACAGAATAAGACAACGTATTCAGTACTCTAAGCATCTGGTCTAGCCAGATCCTGCAGAGAGTAGCCATTTAAAGTCACTTATTAAATAATTAGGGAGGTAGTTATAGGCATGTCATACCATGGAAAGAATTCCAGTGACAACAGTGGGTTTGTAACAGGAATAAATCATGAATGAGTAGCAAAAATTACGCACTTAGGTTATAGACAGTTCATCAGGAAAGCCAAACAAAGATGAAAATGCCTTGTGGTTTAACCTTAACTTGCAGAAGTTTCAAACGATGGCAAGTGAGCAGCTGAACACCACGTTTCTACAGAGGGGCCTGATTACAGCGGGATTATGCCATGAATCTGAGAGCCTCAGGTTCCAAAGCAGTCTCTACTGCCTACCTGTGCTCTGCATAATTAGGTCTAATCACAATTACAGGACTTGGGATGGACTGTTGTCAGAAGAACTCAATGTTTTTGTTTTCACTGGACCTCAGTATAGAGGTCCTAAGAACATCCACATGAAGGACACAGGAAAGATCTGTTGTTCATTAACTGGACAAAGCAGTAGGACATACATCACCTGTCTGGAGATCATCAATGCTGTGTTGAACTAGCAGCACCAGATATCAGTAATGTATCCAAACATACACACAAGGTCACCGTGTGTATGTGTAAATAAAATGTACATGCTGCATATATAAACACACATGCATTGTGTGTATAATGTGTCATTACATTTCATACATATCTATTATACACACACAGACATGGTACCTGCCCTTGAACATTTCAATGCACCACATGCACACAGAACACCTACAGAATATCAATTCAGCAGGATTCTGCAACATCTACATGAACAAGGAAATGCAGAAGACTGTGCGTGTTAAAAGTGAAGCCATGACTTTCAAACTTTTAAGGAAGAGTTTGACACCACATTTAGAAGGCTCCTAAGACAGAGAGGCAGTAAGAAGGTTCTTGCAAGTGTGACCTGGCAAACATAAGTTGGTAGTTCAAGAAAGCAACATGTACTAGAAGAATATTCAGTAGAGGCTTAGATTTGGGAGCAATGGGGTACAACTACAGAACCGAGAAGGAAATGTTCCTGGAAGTTTTGTTTTGAATAAGCCCTAAGACTGGAGAGGTGGATCAACAACTGGGAGAGCAAAACTAGCATTAACTATGAAGATGCATTAGGACTCCAGGTACCCCAAGACTGCCAAGCTGATTTGAGTTTAGAAATTAGCCTTAGGACATGAAAAATAAGGCAGCAGCATTTTTAGAATAGGAAAATGCCTTTGGTTGGTTTAGACAGATTTTCTGTCTATTTAATGCTTTATTAAAAACTTTATCCTCTTCAAGTCCTTACTGCCAATTAGTGTCAATTAACATAAATTTAATCAGCTTTCTTCTGCTCCCAGTACAATGCCATAAAAGCAATGCAGCTCCAGTAATTTCAGTGTGATTTATACCACCGTAAATTAGATGAGAACGAGCCTTAATAGGTGTACATTGAAGTGTGTGTTCTTAAACCACAGTTTGTAATGTGCCCCAACACAGGTAACAAAATTCCTATGGGGCACATTTGTGATCATAAGCTAGACTTTTACTCTAAGTTAATCCAAATGATTAGCTTTTCATGCAGAGCCTTGCAGGCAACTCTGAAGAGGTAATATCATACAGCAGCTTTAATTATGAGTAAACTAAATCGTAGAATTGCATCAGTAATTTTGAACATAACTTAGTTTGGTTAAAGCATCCAATCATGTTTCATAAAATACATTAGAACAGAAATCAGTGTGGATATTACAACAGTGTTGCTGCCATGACAAAGGTCACCTGACTAGAGATTTGGAAGATGAGGTTCAAAGTAGATAACATATAAATCTAAAATTTTTATACTGGAACACTGAAGAGAAAGAAAAAAAAAAATCATCAGAAAAACCTTGGGAAACATCAATAATCTGCTTTCAATAAAATATACATTTACTTCACAAATTTAAAAAGGGGGGTCTAAAGAGAAAAAACTTTTTTTAGCAAACCTCAGTTCATTTAAAATTCTTATTTGTCTTTTCACATAGTATGTCAGTATATCACAATTTCCCTCTAAGGAAATCTTGGTGTTCAACACGTAAAAAGAAAAAAAATGTGACAGGAATGACAGAACCAATTGGAGAAAATAGTGCATCAGAAAGACATAAAAATTATGCAAGGAAATGAAAAGACAGAAGTTATTATAAGAAAACCAAATCTGCAAATATTACAAAGCCTACGTGAAATACACCACAGAATTAGGCAACAAGTAACAAAAAGTCTAGCCCTAAATGTGTTTCATGAAATGACACCTATTTGTGAAAAAGTTAGCTTAAAAGTACCAGAGAATTAGCAACACTTAAAAGTACCAGAGAATTAGCAACACAAAGAAAATACAGAAAAACATATATAAAGAAAAAGTATCTGAAAGAAAGGCTAACTATAAAAAACATACAAAGTAAGTAACGCTTGCAACAACAAGGAATCCAAAATTAGGAACAGCAAGGACTGAACTGACCTACAACATTGCAGCTTTACAGTTTCTGAATAGACATTTTCATGCAGCTTTTAGGCAAATATAGTGCTTGAATATATACTTTGGGGTATCTGGATACCGTCTGCAAAAGGCAACTAACAACTGAAAACAGTCGGATGCTTTCAGCATGCAAATCAGAGGACTCTGATGTTACAGACTCTGGATGCTCCAAGTAATAGGCGGATCCTTGAACACAGTTTCCTGTGCAGCTCAGAGGTTTTAAATTCAAGTACAGTCATTAATGTCTTTGTAGCACCTTTGTATTTCGTAAAAATTGCTAGAGAAGACACATAAGAAAAATGAGAGTGTATATTTCATGTAGCCTTTGTATGCAAGTAGAATGAGACTGAGTACTAAATGAAAACGGTATATGAGATAAAAGGGAATGTGGCCACATCCTTAAACCTGAGAACTGTGAACAGACAACCAAAGCAGAGATGCAAGAACAAGCCTCATGCTCCTAACTTACTAATTAGGATTATTTGACTTATCAGCTTTGGGTTTATCTAGTCCTGAAAGTATTAACTTCTCAATAAACTAAGTCTGATTAAACCAGAGAAATACAAAAAGGAAAAACCTATCCCTTTCCTCTCAATTTTTCTGTTACCAGTTTGAAGGCTCAAGCCCTGCAAACAGAATAAGCTGTTATTACATTGGTAAATGGTAACAACAGCCAGGGACACAGTGACTGTCAACAGAGAGAAGACAAACCTTTTCTTACTAAAATCAGAAGTTACTTATTGCATAACAAATAACTGTGAAGATTCAGTAATTCTTGTAGGTTTTGTTGGGGATACGTTTTAAAGTCACCACCATTCCTTCCTCACAAGAAAGTTGTTGGAAGTTAACAGTTTTAGAATAAATTCAAAAAACCTCTTTTTGTCAGTATTCTTTGATAAAATACATTATAAATTGAAGAAAACATGCTGGAAAGATTCTGGAGAAACTCGCCTTGAGAAACACTACATTTTAGTGGAAAACACAAGTCCTTCAAGTGGGATTTCACTGAAATCATAATTTAGGTACTTAATACTCTTCTTCTTCCTGAGGGACTGTAGATTTCTGTAACAGTTAGAGGAGAAACGTTTCAAAGATAATTGTAACTTATCCACTGGCAGTGGAGGTCTTACAAAGACCTCAACTCTCATTTAAAAGCACAAATGAAATCTCCAGAATTACCTTGAGTTCACCAACGTTTTACGGCTGCCATATTCAAACATTTGACACTGAGCATCCTCGGGGTGATGGAATCCTATTCTTGGCTGTACAAATCTATGAAGAAAGAAAATTAATTTAAATTTACACAGCTGTAACAGAGTAAAGAGAAGCAAGATTACAGCCTATCAAAGAAAGAATGAAATGAAATACAGTGTGAGACAGGCATGTGAAGAGTGCATCAAAGAAGGGGTTGTTTAGCAACACTAATGGGGAAAGTATTAGATGGCTAAAAAGAGAACAGAATTGTGAAAGAACTGGCTGAGTTACAAAAAGAGTGCAGACATTCCAATGAACATTAAGGGCACAGCTCCACATCGTTAGGTGTTGCTAAGTAATTTTCTTTTTCTTCCATTGTGAATTGAAAAGGACAAAATATTTCAAGTCCTCACTTGATTTACTAATAGTTTAACATTAATCAAGCTTTCTCACATGCAATAAACTAAACCATCTCTCTCTGGTTCAGCAACGGAAAAAAAAAGATTGAAATAATGAGAAACAGAGAAAGATCACTGCTGCAATCTACTCCTTTTCCAGAGACAAGTAGTCTTTACTAGTACTGGACTTATTTTTAAGGATATTTTATTAAGATGCTTTCTTTCTTGCAGATTCTAATACCTTAAGGAATCATAAAAACAGCTACTTCAAGTCCTACTGCTTTATTACTTTTCTCCAGTTTTCTTTACTAAACTCATTACTAAATGCAGAACTCTGCAAATTTTAAGATAATTAAAATATAATGGTGCTTTCAAAGTATTTTTCAATCAATTCACTGTTCTGTTACAACTAGTCACCTCAATGTTTGCAGTGCAGCAGGACAAGCATTTCACCTTTTAACCTCTGATCTAAAATATATATATATATAAAAATGTTAAGTATGAAATCAAGTATCAGGGATTTTTGTTTTCTTCCAAGTCTGGACATCAAGTTTTTGTGTTTTTTTTTGGTGTTTGTTTTAGTAATTCATATCATTCACCCCCCAAAAAGCCCATTGACATGCTTTTGAATAGGTCCTTGAAACAGTGGGGAAGCATGAAAAACCTGGCAGTCTTTGTGTGAGTCTCACACAGACATGAGCTTGACTAAAATTTCCAAGTGGAAACCCTTATTTATTGCCTTCATTGTGACCTTGGCAGCTGCACAGCTCAGGAAGGTTTCATAAAGTAGAGCTATCAGAATATTTTTGGAATGCAGTTGATAGCACTGTTAACAAGCTTGCTAGGTCTGTTTTCTGCACCCACTGCCAAATCGATTTGTAGTAGAGTCATGACTGTAACCAATTTCTTACAGTTAACAACTAATCCTGAATGAATCAGCCCATTAAATTCCTAATTATACATATGTACATATATTTAGATGGACCTGGATGTAGCCCATGTTTTCACTGTATTGAAGAGGGGGAAGACACTGAGTGATGTGAAAACACATTCATGAGCCCTGCTAGCGGGTTAATGTGGTTAGTTTAGAAAGCCTGAAGAGTTTCATATTTTATGGCCTCTGATTCTAACTACTTTTTTTTTTATTAAACATGCAGATCCTTCAAGCCTCTGACATGCAACTCAGGTTTATAAACTTGACATGCAAACTCATGGTTTATAACCATGTTATAAAAATCACAGGGTGCAATCAGGACTCCTTCGTTTCCTGAATACAAGAAGTGTGGGAACTGACTATTCTAGATATGACCATGTTGTCCTACCTTACAGAATGTCACTCACCTGGATAAACACCACCACTGCATGCCAGAGAACATCATGCTTTACTACCAAAGCAGAAAAAAAATTATTTCTCGTTGAAAAAAATACTCCTAGTTGTGGTACTCTTATGACAGTCTTAGAAGAGTTTCTTTTAGACTACACCTACATTAGATAAACAAAACAAAACCTCTCTTTCTCACATAAGCACCTAGCCTATGTGTTTACTTTTTGTATTTACAGGAATCCTATTCTCCTTGTTTCTGTGATAAAAATTTAATTGTCAATAAATTATAAATCAGATGTATGTATAATTTATTATTTTAAATACATATTTTATCTTTGAGCTTTTGAAAGAGGGAGATACTTCAGCTGTTTTCCTTTAAGGTCTCAGTAGTTTGAAAAGTTCATGAATAAAGTATGCTCCAAGCTGCATTTACATTCTTATAGTGTGTGCTGTAACAGTAGAGATCTGGTTTTCTAGATGTACACTTTTAGGTCAACAGGATTGTCTTAAGAATAAACCTTACAGAAGTCTCTGGGATTTGATAAATATACTTTTTCTTATCTCCCAGCACCCTGGACACCTCCCTAACATACTAACATGCTTGCCCTTCTTTGGTTAGAAAACTGTAATACTTTCTGGATGCACATACACATCTGTGTTGGTACCTGTCAGATGTTTCCTGCACTCATTTCTTTATTAGAGACATGAAGGATTTACCTCTTTTGAAACAGAGAAGTCTTAATTCTACTACAGAGTGATTCAGAGTTCTTCTGAGACGGATTAGTTTATCAAGTAGGTTTACTTAATTTCTACAGTTAAAAGGCCACATTAGGGTTTCAGTCATTACAAAATGAAAGGCATTTCTTTATTTCAGAATTATCTGGACCTTAACAGATGCATTTGAGATTAGAGTTTGACTATTTTATCTTGCATCTGCCACACAACTCTCAGAGCAAAATGCAGGTGGTCTATTGAAATTAATCTGCCTTGGGAAATATACCATATAATTTTTTTTTTTTTCCCAATAAAGACAAAGCCCTACAGGCACTTGTTTGATTCAAAATTCCTTTTAACTTTCCTAAAAGCAAAGTGTCGCCCAGGTTACCCTGGAACTCAGCTATGGCTTTGTGTCAGGACTGAAGATTTTTCTGCATGAAATTTCATCTTATAAACAATCATATCTTTTTATCTATTTTTCCCTCAAATTTAAAAGTGTTTGCACAATAGAAAATGCATATTGAAGATAATTATGAATTTATGGAGAATTTTGTCAGCAATGTGGACAGACAGACAAAGATGAGGCAATAACTTACTATTACTTATAAAAAATATACAACCTTTGTACTGCCAGTACTCTACAGAGGCAAGTACTTTAACCTCCTCTAACAAATTGCATCTACACAATAAATGACAAGAAATTCTGAGGAAAAAAAGAGAGGGCATAAGGAATGAATGGGTTACACTACAAGAACAAAATAAATTTTGAAGACAGTGTCAGCTTGTTTTGCAGTTCTCCCACAAAATTAGGCATCACTCTATTGATATAATGTCTCACACTGTCTGTGCAAAGAAAGATATTTTAAAACCTTATTTCTTCCTTCAGAAAAGCTTTCGCATGTTCGTTTAACCATGGTTAAAATGATGCATGTTTTCTCGTATTTGTTAACTGAAACATCAAATGACTAGCACAATCAATTTTGATGAGTCACTGCACAATGTGTGAGCTGGCAAACATGAAAATAGTCTCAGAATTAAAATTATAATTTGCATTCTCAGGAGCAAGTGTTCTGCAGCTAATTAGTATTGAGGGGACTGAAAAAACCCCACACCAAACTCCTCATATCTCAGGTGAACTATTCACATATTTGAAATACCTTCAATCAGCCAAAAGTATCTGGCACACATTTGCAGTCTGTATGCACAAGGAGGATTCAAAACAAGCTCTGACTAAAATCTCAGGGCTAAGTAACTGAGTTCATCTGTTGCAAGCTCCCTGAAAAAGGTGCAGTGATTAATAGCAAAGCTGTGCTGCTGTGTCGGTGCATACAGCACTTTTAAGATTCTCAATGGGCCACAGAGATTTTGGTACCAGGGTCTATTTCATCTCCAAGCTCTGGTTCAGGAACCAACCACTTTCATCACATTTTGGCACTGTACTAACTTTGGAATTTACCTTGGGGTTTCAGGCTTTCTTTTGTTTGTTTGTTGGTTGGTTGGGTTTTTTTGGGGGGTGTTGTTTTTTTTTTTTTTAGTTGGGATTTTACTCTGTTAGGGGGGTCGTTTCATTTTTGTTTGTTTGTTTGTTCTTGTTCGTGTTTTTTGTCGGCTTTGGGGTTTTTCTATATCCTTCCCTTTTATGGTAAGAGTACTGTCTAGTGGGAACAGAGCTCTCCAGAAGATCACCTGTATCCTCCAACTCATTATTCTTTACTGAATTTCCCCTGCAGTCAGAAATGAGATTTGTCCCTTCTGTTTTCTCTCTGTCTTTCCTCCAGTCTGTTCTTCACAGTAAGTGAAAAGAAAGCAGAAAAGTTCATAAAGGATGCAATTTTTGAAAAGTAGGTTGGAGTAGGATTCACCGCTATTAAATTATCCAGAGGACTCAAATATTCCTAAACACAAAAGGTCATCACAGCTGTAGGGTGACAAAAATGCAGCTTGCACAGCAAGCCAAAACAGACTGTTGAGGGCTCCTTTTCAGTCTTGTCACCTGGAAGAGAAAATGATTCCCTTTATTTTGCTGAACAGACAGGAGGCAAACAGCACATGCCATTGCTGACTGAACTGCAAAATCAAAATTGACAAATCCTGGAGGAGGAAACTACTATTATAAAGCCAGGCACGACTGCTAATGCTACCTGGACTTCCTCAGCTTATACCTGCTACTGCTGCTCAACAGCCTCTGAGGCCCAAGTGATATTACTCTGGATTCTAAGACAAGACAAGACAAGGAATTATAATTTTGTCATAAAAAAATAACAAGGAAAAGAGACTGAGAGAAGACTCACCACCATCTCAGGTTTTGTGCCGTGATAAAGAAGCAGAGAAAGGGGACTGTGTCAAAACTCAGAAGGCTTCTTGCAAATAGCAACAATGCTATTTGTTCATGACCGTTAAATGAAGAAAGAAAAATTTTATGGAAAGTTGAGATCAGGGCTGAAAAATCAGAAGTTAAACACAACAGTGGCCCCTGATATTTTTCCCTTTTGAATAATTATTATTGGATTCTCTGCATAGAAATAAACCAAAATCTGCATCTGAAATCCTTTTTCCAGATCCCTTCAAATCACTGCAACAATGCCATTAATTCCAAAGGACACTTTGTGGACTTACTCTGTGTCTGTATATATATATATATATGTGTGTGTGT